CTATATTCCATAATAATATAATAATAATAATAATAATAATAATAATAATAATTATTATTATTATTATTATTATTATTATTATTATTATTATTAATTTAATTTTGTCTAGAAGAGAAGCCATTTTTTTTTCATACGGTTGCTCAAATAAATACTTCATGGACGCCATCCAATCACAGTAAGAGGTACTTGGACAACTGGCATAATGGTTTCGGTTTTTGGAATTGGTTTGAACCTTCAATGTGTGCAAGATCAAAGGAAATACTAACTCGTTTGTTATGTAATATAAATTTCTTAGCAGATGGAACAACCCGATTACATACTGAAAAGTGCAGCTGCTCTTCAAGTGATAGGAAAAATCTTACACTAGTTGTAATCTCATGAGTGTTGCTTGTGTTTTAAAAATGAGCACACCATGTGGGTGCCTACATAATGTATGTCAGTTTTCTTTATGAATAAATGTGTAAGAAACTGGGGAAAAAACGGGTGCGGTTCCTCTAACATGAAGCGCACCATGAGATGAAAAAGTCCATATGAAGCCCAAGTGGGGTTCTATCCCAAAACCAATTAGTGGAAGGAAGAGTAGCCCATTAGACTTATAAGACGGGTCAAGGAAATAAATAGCTCGCTAAAGTTGCCGCTATTTGAGAAATAGTTTTTTTTGGCAGCGTGACGCTATTTGTATTCATGTGCAATTTAGCCGCTAATCCCGCTAAATCTCCGCTATAGCTCCGCTATAGCTACAGTGTCATAAACGTTTTAGCCCGCTATTTAAAACTTTGAGACGGGTCTATTTTCCATGTATGAACGATGTGAGACAATTCACAAGTGATATTCTAACAGTATTGAAAAGGACTAGCCAGAGGACTCATGACTCTAGATGACTTGAAAAAGCAACATCTCTTGTGAATTTTCATTCCTATTATAAAAAAAAAATAAACAAATAATTTTTTATTTCAGAAAAAAATGAACAAGCTAAATGGAAAAATAAAAATAAAAATAAAGCCTTAAGAAACTCATAATCATTTTGGTTTGATGATGACTTTCCACACATTGGAATGCAAGTGGAATCGTCTCCTTCAGTCATCTCTTAGACTATTCTTATCCCTAACCCAATCCAACCCAACCTAACAATTAAAAATTATTTCTTTCTCTTCTACCTACACAACTCAATCTTCCAACCCAATTTATCTTTATTCATAACCCAACTCAACTTAAATATTTATTTTATTTTAGTTTATTTAAAAATTACAATTGTGTTCTAAAATATATCAAGTGTGGTCTCTATTTGTAGAGAATAAAAAAATACGAATTTTAATATTTTTTTATTTTTTTTAGATACAAAAAAATACACTTGTGCAATAAAAATGAGACAAATATCCTATTTCTGTATAAAAACCGGTCGCGACCCGAGGTCACAATGTGACCTGGGTCGCGCGCTACGGTGACCTTTCCCCTCTTTTTTTATTATTTTTTTTTTTTTTGTTTTAATTC